CACCACAGCTGTGAATAATGTCCCGCAACCTCCCCAGCCCTCCTGTTCTCTCCCCTTCCCTCTTTAGATATCCATATACATCTCATTGGTTATCCTTCTATTTTTATAGTAGTGCTCTTACACAGTATTTGTCTTACGCGCCTGAGTTACTTCACTCAGCGTAATGCTCTCTGGCCTCTCCCATATTCTCTCTTCCAGTTGTTGTTCCCAGCTGCTGCATAAATACCACAGTTTCTCAGTCCAGTTGTTTGTTGATGGGCATTTCGACTGTTTCCATTTTCTTGCAATTTACATGTGTTGTTTTTAGTTCCAACTTTAAAGGGTTTTTTTAGTCTATACTTAGAAGTAGAATTGCTAGGTAATGTGTCTGTGTAACTTTTACAGCCCGTCACGCTGGTTTCAATGTCAGTTACCACTCTTAACATTCCCACCAACAATGCACAAGGGGTTTAACATCACATCCTCACCAATATCGGTTGTTTTCGGGGTTTTATTTTCCCAGTAAGGCAGACTAATGAGTTTGAAGTGGTATCTTTATTGTAATTATGATCTGCATTTCCCTGATGACTTGTGATCTTTTCATGTATCTACTGGCAATCTGTATATCTGCTCTTGTGAATTATCTTTTCATGTCTGTTACCACTTTCTAAATTGGATTGTTTTCTTATGCTACTGAGTTTTAAGAGTTCCTTAAAAATTCTAGCTATTAAGCCCTTAGCTGATAAATGATTGCTAACTATTTCTTCCCATTAACTAGACTATTTCTTGATAATGTACACTTCAGCAAAGTTAAATATCTTTATCTGTGCCTTTCTTGTTATGTCTGCTTTTGGTGTCATATTAAAAATCTGTTATCTTGAAGTTTTTGAATTTTTCCCCTACTTCTAAAAGTTTTATAGTTTTAACTCTGAGTGAGTCAGTTTGATTTAATTTTTATGTATAATGTGAAGGATCCAACTTCAGGGTTTTTTGCATACTGAAATCCAGGTTGGTTTGGTTTTTTTAAAGCATCATTTCTTTGGAAGACTTTGTTATCCTGTTCAACAGATCTTTCACCCTAAATGTCCATCAACAGATGGATGCATAAGCAAAATATGATTGATGTCATCGTTGTTGTTAGATAACTTTAAGCCACCAATCACTCATAGCAACCCCACGACCAACAAGCAGATCTGAACCTTGCTATGCCCTGCCACATCCTCAGCATTTCAGTCATGCTCTAGCTCACTCGTTCCTGTCATTGTGCTGGTGCATGTCCTTGAAGGTCAGCTTCTCTTCGTCTGAGCCTCCACCTTTGCCACCAAGGTCTGTTTCCAGGAACTAGACATGTCCAAAGTCTATGAGACCGAGTTTCACCATCCTTGCCTGTAAGGAGCATACTGGTTGCAGTTCCTCAGAAGCAGACTTGTTTGTGCTTTTGGCTGTCCACCACCAAAACTCAAATGTATCAATTGTTCTTTGGTCTTCCTTATTCATTATTCCAACTTTAAGATGATTAGGAAGCAATTACAAATACCATGGTTGGGATCACGTGCACCATAGTCTTTAAACTAACATCCTTGCTCTTAGCACTTTGGAGAAGTCCTTGGCAAATTTTCCCAATGCAGCATACCTTTTGATTTCTTGACTGATGCTTCCATGTTAATTGGGGATTCAAAGAAAATGAAATAGTTGACAGCATCAATCTTTTCTCCATCTATCATAGCACCTTTTAATTTCTTGACTGATGCTTTCATTATGAGACTCTTGTCTGAGATGGTATTGCCAAATGTTTGTTCTCAGTCAGTAGGTTTTATTTTCACCCTGTTGGGGAAAAGTCATAAGCCTCTTTTGTCACTGAGGAATCTCTCTCTATTCCTAAATTACTGAGTTTTAATTGTGAAAGGGAGTTGAGTATTGCCAGATGGCTCTTCAGCCTCAAATGTGATCACGTGAGAGGGTTTATTTCCCTTTGTTCTGTAATGTGGGCTTGTCCACTCCTGGGTCATTGCCTGTTGCTTGTATGAGAAGGTGTGTATGAACTGCTGTGACAGTAAGCAGCTTTGAGCAAAGTTTCCAGATCAGAACAGGGTAGGAAGGACAAGCCTCATGGTCTGATGAGTGCCAGTCACTGAATATCATATGGTTGCCACCTATTGATTCAGCACCCGATCATGGAGATGGACATGGGACATGATATCGATATACACCACATTTTGTTTAACAGTGCATCTGTTGAGCATGACAGAAGTCCTGAGGGTGGTACAGGATAGGGCCATATTCAAATCTGTTGATCATAAGGTCAACTAAGAGTCGTATTCAACTGGGGGCACCTGACGACCACTACAACATGCACCCACTGGTCGACAACTTGGGTCTCTCTACTTTTTGTCTGCTGCAGTGAACATGGATGTACAAGTGTCTGTTTGAAGCTCTGCTTTCCTATTTTGAGGGTTGTTCTTGTTCTTGTGTGTTTTCGAGTCGCTTGTGACTCCTAGCGCCCTATATGCAACAGCTCTGAACTCTGCTCTATCTTGAGCCAACCTTATTGTCTCTGACATACCTACTATCATTACCCCAGTCACTGAATCAGTCCATCTCATCGAGGGTCTTCCTCTCCTGCGCTTTCCATCCACCCTCCCAAGCATGACATCCCTCTCCAAGGACTGGTCCCTCCTTGCAAGATGTCCAATGTATGTCAGACAAAACTTCAGAATCCTTGCCTCCAAGGAACAGCCTGGTTTCACCCTCTCCAGGACCAACCTGTTTATTTTCCTAGCAGTCCATGGTATATTCAACACTCCTCTCCAGCACCACAGCTCAAAGACATCAATTCTTTTGTCAGGGACCTTTCCAGTGTACTGAAAAGCAATGATATCAGTCTGGTGCACCTGATACAGGCCATAGTCTTTGCAATTACTTGCTATGTGTCAAAAAGCTGGACAGTGAGTAAGGATGATAGGAGAAATGATTTTGAGAGTATATATCTAAAAATGGGATTGTGGAATCACATGGCAGTTAATAAAAAAATAACAACCCAAACACTCAAAATCATTACCTTAGATTTCAAACTGACAAATAGTAATGGTCCATTGGGTTTCCAAGCTTGTAAATTGAAGTGTAAATCTTAGTGAATCACTGGTGGATTTGAACTGATAGAGATGTGTAGCCTTTGGATTAGGAGTACAATTTGGCTTACAATACTATATACACCACCAGAAATGCATGAGTGTTTCAACTTCTCCACATCTGCAATGACACTACTTTAAAACAAAAGGTGTTCTAGAAGCCCTGTCCACCATTCACCTGTCAGTCTGTGTTAATGTGATGGCTCTCCAGTTGCATGTATCAAATGACATACTTCATTAAGCAAATATGCAGCAAAGGACTTTTTTTTTCCCAAAGGACTTCTTTAAAGTACTAGAGAGCTACCATGGCACTTAAAGACTAAGTTGTGCCTGACCTAAATGGTCCTGTTTCTAGTTGCTTCATATGTATTTGAAAGTTAATAAGGAAATCTGGAGAATAACTGATGCCTTTGAACTGACCTGACTTGACAACACCCAAGAACAACAACCTCTTGCCCAAGAATAATGTTTGTCTCCAGGGACTGGCCATTCTTGATGACATGATCAGAAGATATCAGATATGTCAAATCTCCTCATTATAACATCTAAGGGACTTTCTGGCTGCACTTCTTGGAAATCACGAGAGAATGCTGCATTTTTTCCAAATCACAGATGTGTGGTGTTTCTACTGATGCAATATCTGACTATTCAACTTGTCCTAAGAAATAAAAAAATATGGCTTATTAATTCCTGCCATACTGCTGTAGTTTTCACCTTTTCTCTTACAAAACACAGTTGAGTGAGAAGTGGTTAAATGCACATGTTCTAAAGCTGACGTCTTTCTCAGTTCAGTGCTCCCTGTCATGGGCCAGGGTCATCCTTCAAGGATGACCTTAGGGCTCCAAATATTTGTGCCTTAGCTCCACCAACATGCGATGACTTCACAGATGGAGGAGTGCAGCAGGCTCAGCCACTGTTTGAAAACATTTTTTTTCCTTTCAGAAGACTAAAAACAATAATGTAAATGCATTGAACAAACAGGTCTCTCCTTGGACATAGTTTTATTCACCACTAATACCATCTTTCTGTCCTTCCTTACAGATATCAACGATTTGAAAAGGCATTTCTCTTAGCTGTTGACATTGGTGCCCGAGACCTGTTTATGGTGAGTCATTCTCGGGGATGATTTTGTACCTTCAGTTCTAAGGCTGAGTAAGTTGTCAGGTTTTGTGACCATTAAAAAGGATTAGTGTCATTTTCAACCTTAGGCACATGGTTGGGAAGGCATTATTCCATTTTGGCTCGTAGCTTTGCCTTCATGAAACTGGTCAATAACCATGTAGTATTTTTTGACTTGTTGACATTTTCTTTGCTAGAGGCCAGAGGACGTCTTATGTTTTCTAAAAGGAATTTAAAATTCCTGAAAGTTTTTCTTTCCTCATGCTGCTCATGTACCTTGGTAAGAGAGGATGAGACCTTTCTATTTAATAAGCTTAATGTATTTCTAATCTATTCCTGACATGCCCTGTAGAAGCCAGAGCAGGACAGGCATATCAATAGTTCTTGGATGTGTTCAGTTAGTTGCTTAGATTTTAGTAAAAAAGAGTAAATAATCAATGTTCTCATTTGCGGTTTTTAAGTGCAAAGAGGATCTGTTGTTAAGTGCCATTGAGTCGAGTACAACCCTATGTACAAAAGATCTGACCCCCCTTCTATAACTATTGTCTTTTCTCTAATGTTTATAAAGTTCCAAAGAACTCTTGTTTAGGAAGTGGATGCTAAGCCTGTCTCAATCTGGGAGCTTCACCAAACACTGTCCACCATGGTGTAACCATTATGGCATTACAGTGTGTTCCGTGTCAACAGCAACCCCATGTTATCTCAGTACAGCAAACTGACAGACAAGTGCTGAACCACTTAGAACAATGTTCTTCCTACACAGAATCATCAGAGGATCTAGGAAGTTATAAATTGCATTTACCCACAAGTCTTCTCATTAGCCAAAGAAAAGTAAAGCTTAGGTGCCCCTTACACATCTTTGTGTTGTTTCTTTTGTAAGATCTTGCATCATAATGTCCTAGGGAGGTGGGATGAACAAAGACAGGGTCCACTTTCCAGTCGGCAAGTGTTCAATGTCTGATTTCACTGTTGTCAAGGACACAACAGAGCAAAGCCTTCTAGAATAAGAGAACTTCTGGAGGATTCTGCACCTGAATCTTGTATACACTGAAGGTGTTTGTAAGTTTAAGCTTTGGCATTTTAGATGTTTTTTTTGTTTGGGGTTGGTTTGTTGTTGCTTGTTTTTTTTTCATTTTAGATGTTCATATGACTTAGTTACATTAAGACACTTGCCTTTGGATGTAATTTGAAAACTAAATTTGCACATTTTATAAAATTGTGCAGTCGCTGAATGTAAAAAAAAAGTGTAATCTCTCAAAATGGAAAAAAGTAATCTCTCAAGAAATTAAAAGACTAAATTGCCTTAGGAAAATCTGCTGTCAGAGACCTGTCCAAAGTACTGAAGAGAAACGATGTCAGTCTAAGGTGTACCTGATACAGGCCATGCTCTTTGCAATCACTTGCTATGCATTACAGAGCTGGACAATGACAAGGGATGTTAGGAGAATTGATGCCTTTGAGCTGTGGTGTTGGAGAATAGTATTGAATATATCATGGACTGCTAAGAGAATGAACAGGTTCGTCCTGGAGAGGGTGAAACCAGGGTACTCTTGGAGGCAAGGATTCTAAAGCTTCGTCTAACATACTTTCGACATGTTACAAGAAGGGACCAGTCCTTGGAGAGGGATGTCATGCTTGGGAAGGTAGAGGGACAGCGCAGGAGAGGAAGACCCTCGATGAGATGGATTGATTCAGTGACTGGGATAACGGAGGTAGGTGTGTTGGAGACCGTGAAATTGGCACTGGACAGAGGAGGGTTTAGGGCTGTTGTACACAGGGTCACTATGAGTCATAGGCTACTTGATGGCACATAACAACAATCTCTCTCAAAAGGAGGGACTTGCTGTGATTTGCCAGCTGTTATGTCATTGTGCAAGTGTGTTACTATGTTAATGAGAAGTTTCTGTTTTCATCAAAATCTAAGTAACTGTGCTAATATCGAAAGTGTAGTTATATAACTTTTAAATTATTTTCCCTAACCATCTCCAGTTTTCTTGTCTCCACCTTTTTACCTCTGTTTTTCCCCCACGCTGATAAGTTTATTTTTTTTTTTTTTTAGTATGCTGTTGTTGAGGACCATCAAGTAAGAACCCCATGGCTGACCCTCAGACAGGTTTTCAGAGGCAGTTAATCACATGGGAGGAGATTGCCCAGCTTTCTCCTGTGGAGCAGCTGATGGATTCAAACCACATTCCTTCAGGATTGCTGCCAAGTTTCTTACCAGTAGGCTACTAGAGCTCCCTTATAAGTTGATAGTCTCAACCTTTTTCTAGCTAAATTAAAAATTTACAAGGTTAGAAGAAGGTCAGTGTTCTGTGCCTCACAGACTTCTCTCAAAGTGTTATATTGGCCTGTATTTTTCTCGACTCAAAACTCAAGCTCACTGCCCTAGGCTTTTCTGACGGAGAGGGTCCAGTAGCAGTCAGCTTTCAGAGGCTGTAAATGGTACTGGGAGGAGACTGCTCATCCTTCAAGAGCCTCCGGTGGGTTGGAGCTGACCTTTGATAGTTGATGTAGACTAGGCCACCAGAGCCATCTATGTACCTTCTAGTTCTTTATTATTAATTAATGATACTGTGTCATCAAAGGGGTCTCTGGTGGCCTAGTGTCAAGAAGCTGAGCTGCAATCCTGAAGACACATGGTTCGAGGCTATAAGCTGTTCCATGGGAGAAGGATGGGCAGTCTCCTTTTGTGCAATTAACTGTCTCTGAAAACTCACCAGTCAGCCAGCTTTGAATCAGTTCTGACTCAACAGTACACAACAGCAAACAACATGTCATCAAAGCCAACTTATAAACTCTTTTCAGTTGTATCTGCTCTAGCATTTAACCCCAGGTGAGCCCATAACAATACAGGATATTTGTTAGTTGAAATCACTTCCATAAAGGTAGCCTGTCTAAGGATAGGCTAATTTAACTCTAATCTATAAAGATTTTGCATATAAAAAGGGAAAACTTAAAATACAGAAACATCATCACTTCTTTTTTATTTGTGAGAGCAAATTGTCATTATTCAGAATTCTGTATCCTCTTTCTGTACATAAAACACTGCACATATCACTCAACATCTGTCTCTAGGAAGCCAAAATGTAACAGACGTTGAAGATTCAAAGCTTTATCTAAGCTCATGAACCTATTGTATGCATTTAATGTTCTATGTCAAAATGCCTAAGAAATTAGTATTTTCTGATAGATCAGTTCTGACTATTTTGTTTTTATATCCCCCGCCACAGTTCTGACTATTAAAATTCATTTAGACATAGATGTATATTCTGAGAAAAATTACTTTTTTAAAATTTAATTCAAAATTAAATTAACCCTGCCTATAAATTATTTTCCCCCCATCAAGGCGTGTCTTCCCAAAAGCCTAGTGTCATTTGAATCACAAAGCATCAGTTAATTTTAAAAGAACTCATTTTATGCATTAGCAATGGTATATGATACAGTCAAGAGTACAGATAGAGCTCACGTCACAACAGATTTGTATTGAAAAGCCAGTATAAGTGAGGTGTTCTCCAGGCTGCCTGCTTCAAATCCAGACTCTTATTAATGTACTAATCACTAACTAGCTGTTTGATTTTATATTATTTCCCCAACTCTATTTTATTACTTCATAGGTGATTATTATCTGAATAGTGGCAAAAAGAATACTTAGATCCAGGTTTAGGTATTAAATGAGCCACTTTGCATGCAATCCCTGGCTTCTAATGGTTTACTATTAGGTGCTGTTGAACCTTGTACGAGTCATAGTGACCTTATGAACAGCTGACCTGAACCCTGCCCTCTCCTGTGCCATTCTCATCGTCTCTGACCACTAGAGCCCGTTGCTGAAGTCTCTGTGTCAGTCCATCTTGTTGGAGGCCTTCCTCTCCTTCGCTGACCCTATTTTTGTAGCAACATCACACCATTTTAATTGCAATGGTTTTAGCACTTGTTTTTTAATATATAATGGATCTATCTCTACTACTTTCTCACCATCACTTCCTTCTTCTGGAGAATATCCCCAGTGGTTCTAACATGCTTGTGACTGTTTGAAATGAAAATCATTTGGTGAGGTTTAAAAGCATTCCTTTGGGTTTGGATTGGAATCACCATGAGGTTATAATCTAATTTGGAAGAAAGTTGTATTTCTTTTGCTATCTCTCAGTATCATCCCCTGATAGTAAAATATACTTTTAAAAATACATTGGAATTTTTTAATAACTGTCTCTCAACATAAATTTTCATCACAGAGGAGTGTCCTTGATCTTTGTAAGGCTACTACTACTGATCATCTATTAACTGTCAAATACTAAGAACTCTAGCAACGGTTTGTCCCGTTCTCACCTAAATACTGCCGTATCACCATCCTGTGATACAGGTTATGGAGGGAAAGCCTCAGCTTTATTAAAGAGCTAATTTCTCAAGACTGCAGAGCTAGACTTGGTATCCAATTTCCCAGGAAAAGCAGCCAGTGAAAACCCCATGGATCATGATGGTTCCGTTCTGATGTGCGTGGGGCTATGCCATGTATCAAAGTCTGACTCAGTGGCTTCTAACTAGAAGAACACCACTAGGAAATGCCATAGCCAGGATGTTAAACCCAGATATCAACTCATAGTGTCCATTCTAACCTCTAGCCATTGCAGGCTAAGAATTGAAATACAGAATATTTCATAAGGAAGGCACCTGGTTGAATTGTAAGGAAAATTTTTATCAGTCACGAAAATACATTTTTGGTGCAATACTAGATGAGAGCAGGGTTCAGAGCTATTGTACATAGGGTCACTATGAGTTGTAACTGACTCATCGGCCCATAACAACCATAATAAGAGGTACAAAGTCGAGGGACACTGGTTAAAGTAGGCAAGTTCTTCTAGTCATTCCCCAGGAAATGTTTGGAGCAGAAAACACAATTTGTAAATATATTTCATTCTTTAAAAAAGTAGATAATTATGTTGGTTGTTATGTGCTGTCGAATCGATTGTGACTTTCAACTCTGTTCTG